CTCAGATATACCAGCGGGGGTTTAAGCTCCTGGCAGGTCTCAGGTAAGAGAGCAGACTAAATTCAACAGCAGGTCCTCCAGGTTGTGGGGTTGGATGTACGACTAACTCTGCTCTGTGAAACACCACTTTAGCACAACAACAACAACAACAAACATCTCAAGTTTAAAGAAGCAGAAATCCCTCAAAAAAAAAAAACATGAATATTTGAACTGTTGTGCTCTCTCACCATCTTTAAAACTTCTTTGTTCAACTCAGTTCTTTAAACTCGACCAGAGCTGGAGATGATCTGAATCCTCCTCTTGGCTCCTGTCCGACCTCCTGCAGCTCCACAAATCAGCCACCAGCGCAGCGAAGGCTGCCACGCTCGAGCGCAGAAATAAACGTCCCTCTTAGGAGCAGCTAATAATTACCCAGACAACCTGACAAACACCACCACCTACACCACGTCTGTACGGTTCCAGTTCACGTCTCTCTGTCAGTCTCAGGCAGAAAAACTCAATTTGTCTCGATCCGTGGTGACTTAATTCCCCTCTCGGTGACGGCGAGTTATGTTTTAACTTATCCTGTGCCTCTGATTGTCAGGTCATTAATATTTAACACACATTATCCACAGTGACACTGAGCCTTTGAAGGGACATTTAGAGGGAAATACAAATATAATATGAAGTAAAAATTTATTTCAACAAGTTAAATGTTTTGAGATGAGTTGATTAATTACAACAAACATGAAGCTGTACATTTACAGTTTGAGAAAGTCTTATTCACACAAATAAGTGTGTCAGTTGATTTTCCAACATTTGATACAGCGCCCATATATAGTCTATAAAAGCTGCGTAAAACACCAGAGGTTTATACATTAATGGTTGTGACCGCTGCTGAMGTGTGTTCTGATCAYCTCGGTCCATTCAGAACAGACAGAAGTGATGAGGGGTTCTGTAGCACCTCTGTACCTCTGAGTGAGGCAGTCACAAATTGTTTCCATCCAATTTTAATTCAAATTTTGAGTGAATTTTTAAAATTTCGCAAAAAGAAAAAAAAAGAAACACGAATCAGATGTGTGTAAGACCTCATTTTGTAATAACAGTGCATTATGTAATGTAATGAAATCAGGCTTCAAAATGTAATAAACTTGTGCTAAAACCTCATTATGTAATAATTGATGCAAAWTGTAATAAAAGTCTTTAACACATTATGTAATAACGTCATTACATTTTGTGGCAATTATTACAAAATGTAGTGTAATCTGGTGCATTATGCAATAAACAATCAAAAAAGTATTTCTGTTCATCCTAATCAATATACTTGTAATAAATGTCGTGTTGCAAACACTACATAATGAAACCTTTAAAACTTTGCTCAATAAACACTGAACTTCTCATCTTTTTTGGAATTTTCAGACTTACTGTCCTGATCCCTGTTACAGAAATTATTCCATTTTGTAGACAACTCCAAAGATATCTAAAAATTAGTTGTACGTACATGTCAACCCTTTCAGATACCTGTATAATGAGCCCTAAAAACCTGTAATTTTCGTAAAAAGAATCTGTATTAATCACACGCATGGGGGTTTGGGGGGGTGCAGGTGGACCATCAGCCATGGAGGAGAGGTGGGG